CAAGCCGAACTATCTTCTCTATTACTATTGCACTAGCATTGTGAGTGTGATTCACTTACAATTGTGATGCGAGTTACCGTAATCGTTTGGTCTTCTTTTTTCAAAATATCCTCTGTTCCTTTTGCCAAAGTTCACTCAGGCTTATTCAGTTACTTTATAACCACACTTTGACGGAATAAATTATTATTCTTATCTCCTTTTCTGCTATTAGTCTTACTCTAACATATTAAATGTTAGGCTTATCACTTCTATGGTAGTTAACTTTCCTTTTGTAACTTTACTTTCTTCTGATATTATTTGTCTGCTGTTTCCGCTCATCTCACTCTATTAATATCTTTGTCGCTTGATCCTTTCAGCACGGGCTCGGTCCCTAGGAACAACCTCATAACCATTTTGTGCTTGTTATAGTTTTCATGCTATAACTTTTAAATTAATATGCAATTTTATTTTTATAGCATGAAACTATAACAAGCACAAAATGGTTGAGGTCAGTCCTTGGGACCTAGCTCGTGCTGAAAGAGTTAATATTATCTCTCAGTTCTGTATCTTAAACTACAAAAAGTTGAGAACATTGAATTAAAATTATTTTGTATATACCATTCAGCAAGTTACAGTTGATATGAAGTTGCAGTGGAATGGTGTGTATCAGAACTGCATTTTGACATAGTTTTGCACTTCTTAGGTAGTTTGATGCCACCAAAACTGATCATTTGGAAAGGTATGTAATAGCTCTTTCTGATGCAAAATATTCATACACTCAAAGTATAAAGATGTATTAAAAATCTTAAATTTAGAATTTCAACGACAGGGACTCTCTTGTACTTAATGGCATTGGAAAACAGGAATATGGATCATCTTTATGCAGTAGGATCATCCAGGAAGATATCTACAACACATTATACCCCAGCTGTGGTTAAATAATAAAAAATACTCCATTTTGTGACATGTTTGAAAACGTGAACACGAGGGTCAGTGGCAAAAGCATCAACTATCTAAGGTAACAGTACTCAACATAATCAAAAAAGTATTTTCATCTGGAAAAGTGATATTCATGTGTGCACAAATTACTTCCATGACATACCCAATAAAGGAAGACCAACTGTAGAAAACTGTATGAATGTTATCTAGCCAGGGGTAATAAGTAGGAAGTGGTGATACTTGAAGTGCATGTGTATTTTACTAACTGTAATAAGTCACTTGCCTTTTTCTGCCAAACAATGGGTAAAAACAATTTCCAAAAGTGATACATGACTTGTGTAACTGTTTTGAAGGAATTCATGATTGTGGTTGAATTTTTTCTCTAGGGAAAATTGAGGATTAGAGAGTGGATAAAATGGTTATGGTGAAGTCTACTCAATAATATTCGACTAATATTCTGGACCCTTTGTACTACACACAAATTCCAGCTTTGTATAAAATCGAAGCCAACAGGATATGGGTTTACCAAGATGAGGTTTTCAGTCACACCTCCCATCACATACCTCAAACAGCTGTGAAACGAAATGGGTGTTCATAATATTCTGTACAGACACACATCAGTTAAGACATAAGATGTAGTGCCTATGCATTCCTGTTGATCAAGTTGTTGAAACAGTAATTGGAAAACCATTATTCTCATAAACTAGATGGATTATGGAAAGCATGCAGGGAAAAGTGATGTGCTTTGGGATAACCTTATGAAGGAGCCTTTTTTTTTATGGAAACTATGTTGCAGGGATATTGTTATGGTGAAAGTCTTCAGATAGAGCCTGAATGGACTGTGACAATATGATGAGACTAAAATTAAGTGTTTTACCCCTGATAATGGATTTTTGTATTGGCATTATTATTATTATTATTGTTTTTTTGTGCTATAGCCTTTTGGTACTCAAAAATAGTTTTCATATTTTTAATTGTCTGAAATGTTTAACTCTTATAGGTAGACTCTCCAACTCTCTCTCCACTCCCGAGGCTTAATGCTAACCCAATGTCACCTTGGCGTCGGGTATGTAACAAGCATTCTGTTTTCATCAGTCCATTGAAAAATGCTAGTTTTCCACCTTCTCCACACCGACCAATGATGTATAGCGTTAATAGAAGTCCTTCAAAGGTGTGTATTTCATGTACTGTGTAACTACAGTAGTCTCTGATTATCAAATTTTCTATCATAGTATCCAAGCATTTCTTTTTTCCTTTAAATATTTTTATGTCAGCATTTTCTGTTCAATATATTTCTATGTTTGTAAGTATATTTACGGGTTAAGTATGTTTTTTTAATTTCTGAAAGATATTTAAATAGACGTAAGTTGCAGGTATCCATATGCTAATATATTTGAAAATTTGACAGTTATTTGCTGATTAAAATTTAATTGCTTACTGCAACAGTTTTTAAAATGTTCGCTGTCACATAATAAATTAACTATAAATAAAATAAACATTCAAGTAGAGCAGTCACAGTGTCCCAAACTCGTTTATTTGACTATGAAACATAATTGTCTGACATGGCAGTGAAGATGTTAAATGAACTGTTATTAAAAGTCAGCTAAACATAAATGATAATGTAAATGGATTGTTTTAAAAAATGTTTACTTTTATTGACATACATATGAGATACTTAATTTCCTCCTTCCTTCTTCAGTAATTTCAAACAAAAAATTTAAAATTAAACATTTTGTCTGTATTAATCCTGATCAAGAAGTCAACAGACCTTAGTTAAACATTAAAAAAGTCCTAAAAATGTGTAGTTTTATATATTTTGTTGGTAAGACAAAATCAATGAAAAGTGAAGATAAATTTAAATTTTTAGACAGTTGAAGGAAATTGATACTGTCAGTTACTTAAGAAATAAATACAAATAGTCAATCCTAGAAATGTTAAGCAGCAAGTATAGTCATTAAATAATAGTTTACTCTGCATTATTATACTATTAAGAGTGAGTGCAGTTAATATGGTTTAGAAAAAAATTATCACACACACATACTGAATCTGTAAAAAATTCAGAATGAATATTTCAGATATAAGGTATGTTTTTGCAAGCTCTCAGTAAGTTCTATTTTCTGATTGCATATATTATGATAAAACAAAACTGTAACAAAAAACAGGTACTTGGTAAAGCTTGCAAGCAAAATATGCATGTACACATAACTTATATAATTATAAGTTTTTAGAATTTACTTTTAAAGTTTGCTACTGCAAATATAAAACATAACTGTGTAAAGCATGATGAAAATTAAAATTGATATTATGGTATCTCTTATAATTTCTTAAATAAAATTAAATTTTAACATTCAAATGCATACATAGTTCCAAAGTTGATTGAAATGTTTGTATTTAAATCAGTAAATATATCTAATAAAATGACCAAAAGACTGAGCTACCCTTTATTTGAAATTTAAGTTATTGTTATGTATTACTGATCTTGAATATATTTATATTGCTTTGCAATAATTTGAGTTCTAAATCTAGTCTAAAATCTTATTTGTGTTAATAACTATTGGTTTTAAGTTATTTTTTCAATTTACGTACTGATTTTTTTTTGATAGTTTGAAATATTCCATAAATATAGTTGAAACAGCATAAAGTCTGTTTAAATTTTATCTATTAGTACTAACTAGTATAAAGCTTAAAGCCACAAAAAAAATTGCTTTATGCCAGTAAAACTTGTTTTTTTCAGGACTTACGAGCCATCAACAACATGGTACGAATGGGTGAAAAGAAGGTTGGTAAACGTATCCTTCAGGATGATGCCGAAATGGAGTGTCCAACCAAACGAAATTGTTCCAACTTAAGGATGCAGAAAATACAAAATGTGATCACCGAGCGGCAGGGACCAGCTGGTGGCACTACAGAGTGACAATCACTTAATACTAGTGTTTTAGTTTGAACACAGATTGCTCTGATAATCTTCATGTCTCTAGAAATAAATCTTAGTTATGTATCAAAATGTTAAAAATACATGTTATAGGCATACAAAGGGGAATGTTTGACAAACTGTTTTCTCAGTTGTACTTGCTTGTTTAAGTTTGCAGTAATATGAAGAGTATATGTGGTTATGTTACTGATTTTACATTACTTAATATGTAGTTTAACTGAGACAACATCAACTCATGAAGTATGTTTAGTGTATCAGTAACTGTTATCTAAAATAATTTAGTATTTTTCCATGTTTTAAGCTGTAAAATGAACCCGTTTTATCAGAAAAAAAAATCTGTATGTATTCTTAAATATTCAATTAAGTATACATGGAATATGTATCAGATTTTGTTAGCAATTAGGTTTTTAAGATTTTTTGAATTACTGAATAATCATGCACTTGTAATTAGCTGTGCCACATTGACAGTGATCCTGTTTAATTTTGTTTTTGTTGTATTTTTTTAGAACAAAATAGTTTTTTGTTTACTTTTCTTTGTCTGTGCAACAAATTATGACAGAAACATGGCTGTGTTAAATGTTTTTTGGTAAAACTTGTTCGAGGTAATGATAACCAACAAAATGTTCCCTTCATTTAGCAATAAACAAACAAGTACATGTACAATTTAAACAAAAAAGCATTGATCTCAGTTTTTAGCTGCAAATTTCATATTTGAACAAATTAGTGATTTAGGGTTAGAATTCTGAAACATTAAAAAGGGTTTTTATATGACATGTTACTTCTTTGAAGGCCTTTTATTTTCATACATCTTCATCCTTTGATTTTAACTAGACAGTATAAATATAATTCTTTATTCATTTACTCAAAAAAAAATAGTAATTACGATTCGTGACAAAGATTTTGTACGAGCAGTAAGAACATTATATTTTTATACAAATATATCTTATTTTCATAGAATCTTTCTCAAATTTCATAAATTAGTTTCATCTTTTAAAATATCTTGTGCATTATTGATATACTATGTTTTATTTATTAAGTCAATACAAAGTTTTAAGTTGATTTAAGAATGTCTCAAAATTTACCAAGTAAACTGCATGCTTCAATTTTTTAGGTGGTAACCCAAAATGTAAAACTCGAAGATATAACTGTTTTTCTTTCAACATCATTTAAAATGTGTGTCAAAATTAAAAACAACCTGATCAGAGTAGTGTATAAAAGAATTGATATCAGAACCTTTCAGGTTAAATAAGTTTTTTTTTTTTAACTTTTTGTTATTTTGCATTATTATCCAGTTTGATAAATATAAGCTGCTTGTTACTCTCTTTCATTATTCCCAAAACTATCATTATAGTGTTTAAGCAGTTTAGACTGTTTTAATTTCTTCATTTCATGTTTCAGTAAATGAAATTGAATTTGCATCTGTTGTTTAGAATTTTTAAAACCTGGAATAGCTATTTTAAGTTGAAGAAATTTTGGTACATTTTTTTTTCTCTCTCTGACATCTAAGAACTTTAGATCTAATAATATTGTAAAGTATCTGCTTGTTTGTTTGTTTCCGGTAGAAATTCTTTCCGAGGATCTGCAGCAATACAAGTCCTTTCTTGATTAAACCAGTTTATTATTCCTCGACACAAACTTTTAGTACACAGTAGTTCCACAATTAGTATGTTTCTCATCACTTTAAACTTAACAACTTTTATAATACATGCTATAAATCACAGCAATTCACAATTTCGATAACTTCGCTCTCGACGAGTGCAAAACACAAGCTTTATGGCTCACTAGCTCGAAACTAATAGAATCATAAATTACACAGAACTCAAAGTAACTACTGCTCTCCCTTCATTCATTTCCCACTGACTCTCTCTGCCAGGCTTATATACTAACCAAGAGGGCACCTCAAACACACTCGGACTTCCCCGATCATTCGAGAAACTCATCAGCGTCACGTGACTTCCGCAGTTGTAACAGAATGTTTAAAACCTGGATTAACTATTTTAAGTTGAAGAAATTTTGGTACATTTTTTTTTTTCTCTGACATCTAAGAATTTTAGATCTAATGATATTTATTATACAACCTTTCAGTTTTCCTAAAAATTGTAATAGAAATTTACTTTTGGGAAATCTAACGAGAAATATAAATTTTACAATTAAGGTGATAGTCCATCAAAACCTATTCCAACTAACATTATAAGAGGGCTTAACACTGAGTTAAGCCCACCCCCATTCTTGTTCTATTAATGTAAAATATAGCGTTAATAATTTGAGTATTTAAATTTTGGGTAGAAGGCAAGTTGCCAGATGGTACAGATTGGTCTACCATAAATTAAAAAAGCAACACCTAAATAAATTTCAACAATTTAGAACTGAGTGCTACAAGGTTTGTTATAGATCACTATCTAAAGACTAAAAATTACGCTAACCTAACTAAAATCTTGCTAACAACTAAACAGTTCACATTCACAAAATAATATTAAAATTCAGTCTTCACCTAATTATGAAGTGATATATTGACCTCTAGCCAAATGATATATTTAGCCTCTGCATAAGTTTTAAAACATTATTATTATTATAGCTTTTCAACCATAAAATATTATGTTTGCATAAAACAAAATTAAAATGCTCATTAAAACACCCTTTGCTACATAATTCATCATTCTTATGTACAAGCTTTTGAACTTTTACAGACTAGTCATCAGGCAAATGTTAATTACAAATGCCCAGCTATTGAACTTAAAATGGAAATAACCAGCAGAGACATCTATAATATCAAAAGTATTTCTGTAACATTTATTCCCAGTTTCTTTCTGTTTATTAAAAGTCACTAATCAATAACCTTAGTGCAAATTTCAAAATTTTTATTTAGTGATTTATCACATTCATTTAATCCATGTTGCTTAATTGACTGCTTTAATGATCTCATTGTTCTTTAATTCTGGATGTTAAGGTCTTCATTGTAGAACTTGTATTACATCTTTCACATTTGGCTCAGCAGTAAGGCTGAAACTGTTTTTTTTTCTACTCTTGGTGGGCACAGCACAGATGGCTCTTCGAGTAGTTTGTGCATAACAACAAACAAGTCTTTCACATTAAATAACAAACATCATTAATGCTTAGGACATAACTACAAATTCAGTTAGTGTTTTTATTAAAACCAGTATGTAGAATTAAAAATTTCTTAAAGGTTGAAAATATAATTATAACAAAATGAAATTGTTCTGATGAACAAAACAGAGTATATTAATAAAGTACAAGGTGTTGTAAGAGATGGAACTAAGTTTAAGAAATTGGGGAAAGATCTTATGAAAATAAGATAAACTAATTTACAAAAATATTTATTAAATCTTAAACAAGAGTTAATAGATGAGAATGAATATAGATTTTATACAATAAATCTAATGTGTGTTCTGTATTTGCTAGTTATCGGTACATAAAATCTTTCAAGCGTTGTTTTAAATTTACAGGTATATTTATTATCAGTCTTGTCAAGTACATTAAAATTGTTCCAATGTACTACTATCAAATGTTCTTTGGTAAAATATTAACCTTGTAATTTGTTTTGCTTGTAAAGTACGGGGGCTACATTTAAATGTGTAGGATAATAGTTTGTCTAGTTCTAAAACATAGCTATAAAATTTGTAACTCTTATTATGTGTAATATAAATGTAGTCCAAGCTTTATTCATACTGTTTTGGTATCTTTTACCATTTTCCTAAGTTTGTTTTCATGCTCTTCAGTCTGTACAATGATTGTGAAGAGTAATAGATAGTTTTTTTCTAAATTAATTCGTTACAACTTTTAGTTTATTGTATATTTACACTTGATTTTTTCATAGTATTTTGTTTATTAATTTTAATTTTGCCTTTTTAACTATCTCTTGAATAATGATGCTTTAATAGTGTGAATGTTAAATGATTTGACATTATTTTGTGTTATGTAAGTTCATAAAGTGTTTTTTTTTCAAACATTCGTAGAAAATTTAAGTGAAACCTAACTATATTGTATAGAACTTGGAAAAGATTAAACAAAAACTTGTTTTTGTAATTACAGAATAGTAGATATCCTGTTAATGTAACAACATTTTATGATCACATTACATATTAAAACCCATACCATAACCAGCAGAGTAGTAAAGCTCTTGTCAATGCAGCTGTGTTTATAATCAGGTATGTCATCTATGAGAGATGTAAGTGACTGAAACTAGAATATTGAAGTAATGTTTGCTTTTACATACTCTTTTAGTAATTAACAGTTTTTAAATTCTGTAACGAATAGTATAAAGCTAATTTTACATAGTTAAAAATTATATTCTGACAAAAACAGTTCTTATGAAAAATTATATATATTAATAGTAAGGTGTGAACACAATAAAAAAAATTATGAAATTGATTGTGAAATGAAATTGTGCTGATAAAGTTAGTCTTTGTTGTACAAACAGCAAAAGTAAAGAAACTGCAACCAAGACTGAAGAATATGTATAGATGATATTTTGAAAAGAATTAGATCAGTTAATATTCTAAACAGATAACTTCAAAATCGTTTATACTAAAGAAATTATTGGGTAAAAAAGAAACCAACCCTATATCATTTATTTTGTTCAAGAAGCAATTTGATATTGGATGGATTTTCATTGTTTCATCAAAACCTTTGAAATGTAGGTTATAAAAACTTTTCTACCTAATGTTTGGAATTATGCTGGAAGCAAAACAAATGATATTCATGTTAAATGCATTAGTATTGGCCTAGAAATGTGTATAGGTAGTAAATTATTTTTTAACATAAATTTTACGATATGAAAAATGAGGTACTATTTATATATCAGTTCCAGTTTTTTCGGATTCCTGATTTAAACAAGTTTTAAACTAAGTTATAAATTTTTTATTTTCTTCTTTACAATTGCATTTTGACTTGCAATAATTAAGATCATGATCTGAACATTTTCAAATTGCAGCATTTTGTATTAAACATCAGAATTTATCTGCTCTATTGGAAGATGGTTGGATAATTTGGTAACTGCCTGATTTCCCTGGTTTTTCAGAACGTGATAGTTTTGAAAATTGAACATGATTTGAATAATCTAACTTTTTGGTACCAAATGTAGTTATTCACCTCATTTTAATACTTATAGAACAGTTATGAGCTTTTGTATTTTGAAACTTTAAAATTATGAACAGACATACCTTAGTGTCTAACCTGTGGTAAAAATATTGAATTATTCTTTTGCTCTTTGTTTTTGTATTGAATTAAAATGTAATATTAATGAATGAACCTTTAAAGAAATTAAAATTATATTGATAAATTATAACTTGAGAAAATCAAACTTGAAAAAGTAACAAACAATGTACACCTGGACTTTTAAACTAATAGTTTAATTATAATTTCATTTTTTTTTAAATCATTTCAAATACCAGTATGTGAGCTTCAAAGAATTTAAGTTTCAATACTGGGTGAGAAACTATTAAAATCAATGACAGGAGTGTTTTTTTATTGTTTTTTTCTAATGTATCATTCTGATTTTGAGAACTGCTAATATTTCTGTTGTGTATGTGTCAAATTGTCTTCAAAGTTCATAGGTTAACTGCTAACTTTTGTAAATATATATATATATATATGTGTATGTTGGTGTTTTTTTAATGTCACATTATGAATGGGCTTTTTGTTGTACTATAGTGATAGTTGATGTACCTGGAGCATTAGGGTACACATTAAAATATCAAGAAATCACTATTATGCTTGAATAATTATTTTTCTGTATAGTCATTCTCTTTCTAGAATTGTAGATTTAAGATTCAATAAATTAATTATCCTTACTTTAACATTATGTTGTATAGATGTGTACATGAAAAAAAGATGGTTCTTACTGTAACATAATATAATATACATTTTATTTGATAAATTTACTTA